TGACTAACTCTAGAGGAAAAATATATCATAACAGCAAAAGGAGAAGAAAGCATCCTCAACACGACAATTTTATTTAAAAGGAGCGCTCTGCTAATGAAATCAGATTAACTGACATAAACTGAGCATGATATTTCACTTTTAGTTAATTACTGATAAAAGAGCAATTCTGGCAGAGATTGATGAGAGAAATGAAAAAAATCTGTGGAAAAGCCTACAACAGTTCCAGACAAGATGGAACTGAACAGGATCTCTAGTGAGAATGTAAAGCTGGCCCTCAGTGTGAAAAAATAATCTTACAGCTATGGACAGAAAGAGCAGACAGGCATCGCCAGCATCCACTTTGGAGCTCAGAGCCCAGAGAGTGATGGAGATGACAATGGAAGGTCATGTCATAAAACATTGAGCCAAGATGTTTTATCTTCATTATCTTAATTTTTAATCCACTTCCAAACAGATGCTGCCACCAATATCTTATAGACAAGGAAACTGGGGCTAGGGGAATTTATTAAGTAGTTTGCCCAAGAACATGAAAAACTAGAACATGTCAAAGATTTTGTAAAGTGAACCTCTGCTGTTTGACTTGGGATATGATGATTCCAGAATTGTTATCTCAAGAAGACATATGCCCACAGAATTAAAATCAACTTCCTTTATGAATTAGTTTTTTGAGTATTTCATGTATTTTCATTTGTTAATAATTACAAGGACTTTGGCTCAAATTTAATGTTTATTTATAAAATAATATTAAGCTACCTGATTTGTGTTACAGCGATGTAGTTCACCTAATTCTGGGAAGGAAGATACTCAATTATTTTTACTCTAACATTTTAGTGGAATGGAATCAAAGACAATAAAAAAGTTATACTTTTAAAAATTCTTTTAGTATTACAATTGAACCAGCACTATAAAACTAAAAACAGTCTAAGCAAAATGCAGAAATTTTCAATGTATTTTTTTCCTTTTGCTAGGCACAAAAGTAGTGCAGATGTCCTAACATTAGTTACATTAGGTGTTGCCATGAGAGTACACTGTTGTTGACAGAAGCAAAGTAGAAATTCTGCATTCCATTTCTCATCTAAGTCTTTTGGCAGGGATGTGGCCCTCGCCTTGCATGCACAAGGCCTTGAGTTTGATGACTGGCGATGCGTGCACGCGTGCGCACACACACACACACACACACACACACAAAGACAAATCCAATCCAAAGCCTTTTACGAGGGTAAGCACCTAATATGTCTCATATCATTTTTATCAGCTGGATATAGGATGAGCTGGGGGCTGGAATGGAGAGAGAATAACAGAGGTACTAGATAGAAAGAGCCTACATGTGTAATTCACTTGCAGAGGAAATTTGTCTGCCAATAAGAACACCAACCTCAAACTCTTACATATACAAGCAATAAAATTCTATTGTATTGCACCATTAAAAAAAATGCAGAAATTTTAAGTTGTGGAGCCCATTAATTGAACTTATTTTCTACTTATACACCAACTGGAAAAATATGCTTGTTGGTGGCCAAGATAAATGAACTAGAATGTAGCATATAGTGATGTAAATTCCTAATATTTTCACAGGGAAAATACAAAGGAGTATAGTGTTTTCCAATAGCAAATTCAGCAAATTTAGATATGAAGCTAATAATAACATTCAAATAGAATTATATACTTTCATGTATACTCCTCTGTTTCTGACCATCAAAGAAAAGGAAATAAAATCAGGGGAAAAATACATAGATAGATAGATAGATAGATAGATAGATAGATAGATAGGTACATGAATGCTTAGGGTTAGTGGGCCTGAAGGGGTAAATGAGGGAGACAGGAGAAAAATGAGTACTCGCAGGGAAAATCTAGCCAGACATTATAATCCATCACTGATCCCTAAAGGGCACTAATAATATGTAAATGTGAGAATTAGAAAACACATTCAGGGCTGTTGATAAACTTGATAGGATAATCAGCACATGCTGACAGACTAATGAAATTGATGAACTGATAGGGCAGCTTATCTCCTAGGCCATTTTTTTCCTTGTCAAATGGAGGCTAATCAAAATGTATTAGGAGTTAAAGCAAACACTCAGGGGATCTAACCCATTTGATTAGAAGGTGAACTCGCTCTCTGAGAAAATTATAGTTTCTCGAACAACTGAAACTATAAAACCTAATCAGCTGACAAATCTTCACATAAAATTAAATAGAAGGCAACTGCCATAATTATAGGAGAAATCCGGAATTTTAAATTGTATTAGGACCTTCCTGAAGGAAACTGTTATAGTGCTTTTCAGTATGGGCAAAGACGCCATCTCCTTATATAATGGAAAATAAGACAAAGGAATAAGCAATAACCCCCAGGGACAACTTATCTTTTGCTGCCTGTGTGTGTTTAGCATCAGTGTAACCATTTGAAAGATAAATCCCAAGGTACCAACTGAATTTTCAATGTAATTTATTTACCTAAAATAATTGCATGAATGAATTCTTTGAAATCCCAACTATAGTGTGCACCACCATTTCCCATTACCAAGGAAGACAACACATGCAGTTTGTTGCCAAGGACTTCAAATCCTAATCTGAAGAAAGATGCTTTGTTTGGTAAGTGAGGAAAATGGGAACAAGGTTTTCCAAAGCACTAGAATTAGGAATAGAATCATACAATGAAAAAAATCTGTGCCTCCGTAGGCCATGGCAGAGAAAGCAGTCTCTTTAGTATTTATTTTGATGTGAAAAATATCCAGCATTAAAATAGAAAGGCTAATTCAATGGACAGGTCTACAGATTACAGGTATATGTTTTATGCACATGTATATTTTATTCATTTAGACAGTGGAATGATAAAACGCTAGACAGTGAAAGTGTTTTATTTATGAAAGCTTGAGAACAAAATTACAGGTGGCGAGACTAGACTTTACATAATTATGTCAAAGATTAAAATACACTCAAAAAATTTTCTAATGTTCTCTTTAATGTGAGCATTAAAGCCCTCTGCTGATACCAGGCAAATGGGATGGGATGCCCAGGAAGATTAAAAGGATTTCTAAATTGTAATTGCTTCCCCCTTCTTCTTTTTCTTCTTTTTTAATTTCTTGTAATTAGGACAGGATTTACAGGGTCTACAGGGTCTCACTACATAGATCCAACTCACAGTGATTCTCCTGTGTTCAACCTCCTAAGATCTGGAATTACAGGTGTGTGCCACCACACCTAGTCTCAATCCATCTCAGTGCACCCCACAGGTGGGCCCAGCAAGGCAAGTGGGGGAAACGAACCCTGCCGCTACACTCTGCCTAAGCAGCCTTTAGTATGCTGAGCTATCAGGCCAGCCCTTTTCCCCTTCATTTAATGAAGAGAAAAAGGAAAAAAAAATGCCCTATTGTATCTCTGAAGCATTTCTAGATTTTTAGTCATTTAGAAAAAAAGTAGTAAATGTTCTTGTAGGTGAATGTTTCCTAGTTTGGGGAGGATTCAGACTTTTAACGTGCAAAATGCATACAGATCTGTGATATTTCTAGAATCATAGGTTTTGGAAGCATTAATGTAATTCTAGTGATCACATAGTCTAATTTTATGTATTTCAGGCTTATAAATAAAGAAATAGCTAAATTTAATAAAAAGAGAAGATCAGGCTTTGCAAATTTCATTCTGAAAAACAGCGATACCTGGCTTGAGGACAAAAGTAGCCCTTCTCTCTGTTGCCTGGAAGCAGCTGAGCTAATTCATCACCCAGGCACCTCATATTTAGAATTGCCAGAGCTACATGCTGAATCGGTGGCTGTCAGTGGGGCCACCAGCATACACCTGCACTAGCAATTTCCTACAAACTAGTAAGAGATCCTTCACAGAAGATAGGTGTTTCGTCAGAATTTCAAGGACTTTACCTCTTAATCCTGGAAAAATCCATGCCCTAGATTTACATGTTTTCTGACTGATAAGGGAATTAAGTCATTATTTAACACAGAAACACAGTAATACATTTACCATCTTTAGTCTTTTTTTTTTTCTTTTGAATATGACTGAAAAAAGTCTGAGATTGTAGTCCTAATCTGTGAAAAACAATACAAATTGTCTCAGTTGTTCTCATCTTTTACTTCTATAGAAGTTCATGAACCTCTACATTATTACAAGTTTATTTATTTATTTATTTATGTATTTGGTTGTTGCGGGATCTCACTATGCAGCTCAGACTTGTGTTGATCCTCCTGCTTTCAGCCTTCCCAGCACTGGGCTTACAGGTGTGCGCCACTATACCTGGACTCTGGTTGGCTCAACCTGCATACCACATGCATACCACTATTTTCTTTATTTTAATGGCTAAATTAAATAAAAAGAGAAGATCAGGCTTTGCAAATTTCATCAATTTTGTAAATTTGATACAAATTTGCAAATTTGTATCAATTTTCATACAATTTGTATTGTTTTTCACAATTTGCCAGGGATCAAACCACAGTCCCTGCCCTTGCCTAAGCTTGCCTAAGTAGGCACCTTAGTCCGCTGAGCTATCTCTCCAGCCCTCAAGTTTACTTTGGAGACTAACGGGGCAACCTACATGGCTCCCCCACTGTCCCTCTCTCAAGGATAGATGTTTCTTTCCTCTTATAAATAAATTCTGCTCTTAAAAAAAAGAAATAAAAATAAAAAATCACAATTTGATAAATTCTTTGGAATGAATATTCATCCTTAAACATAATTGAAAAAAACACACATCTATAAGACATCAGTTTTTCATTCTCTAGAGTCTAGCTAATACTTAGGGACCCAACAGGTTTTGCGAGGTCTGTGTACAATTTTAGGACCAGCCCACTGTACAAGAAATCACTATTAGTGATTTTATTTTACTCATGTCAAAACAAATGTATTGTGAGAATATGAAAGTGACACTCTGTTTTGAACAAGGTTTGTTAGTATCAATAATAAGACTCACTGCAATTACATTAACACAAACACACGTTCTAATTAACCTGCAGTGCCAAAAATATCAATTAAAATATTAATGTTTTACTGACCCATCATGTTGTACAAGCTCTGTGGAGCAAACTGTCTGGGCATTTTCTGAATTGCTTCCTTATACACAGTCAGGGCTTCCTAATTTAAGAAGCAAAAACAAAACAAAAAGATAAATCATCATTAAAGTACAGCAATATTCATGGAAAATAAGATAATAATATTCCCCCAAGTTAAAGCTATCCATGGCTATTTCTAAATGGTTCACTAGAGGAAAATAATTGAGCCGTCCTTCGATATTATGCTACTTTAATTTCACAAAGGGAAAAGCCTAGACCAGTGAAGAACGTCATATATAAATTCAGTTTAACAAGAAGTCAAATGTGAGGAAAGCTCTTTTATATGAATTTTCAAGTTTTACACAGGTCAGCCAAGGAAAAAAAGGGAAAAAAAATTATACTTTAGACTTGAAAGTGACTCATTAGCCATCTAAATTCTGTAGACATGTTAATTCAAGCAAACCACTTGAATCTCAATAAAGCTCCTAGCTTTATTGAGACTCACTAATACTGCTAGATACAATGATTTAAAATATCTTATCTTCCTCCCACATTGCAGTCTTAGTGCAATGTATAAAAATAGGGGAAGGGTACAGAGGGAAAATTTTGAAGGAAAGAAGAAATATATGGTGTGATCAAAATGTATGATGAATATTTAATTTAAAAAACGTATTACAAAAGAAGACATATCGTCATCAAGTCCCCTAAGAGCACCCCCTCTTGCTTGAACTCCACTGACCCCATCGCTCCGGCTGCTTCGTGAGCAGGTGTGAGCAAAGCTGCTCTGTGGCTGCTGTGTGCCATCACCCAGGCAGTGGGCTCCTAGAAAAGTACGGCACATGTGCATTTACCTGGCTCGGTGCGGACGGAACCACTCAGCCGCCAGCTCTTCCCCTAAGTCAAGAGGGCCACACAAGGCAAGCGTGGAGGAGGCCGTGACACCCAACTAAAGACACAAAAATGACTTCCAGAGCTGGCTCAGAAAGGGGCACGGATGACGGGATAGGTGTGATCCTAGTGGCTATGTTTCTGTCACTATAATAACTATATTTAAAATGCAGCATTCACAGTCTTTTTCAAGAACACTTCCCAGGCATCGTCCGCAGGGAGGCCTCCTGCATGCAAGGGGGAGGTCTGGGTCCCTCCTAACGTGCCTTTCAGCATTCTAGGATCTCACCCTTCAATCAGTAATAATATTAACATGCAGTTTTTTTAAAGCTCTAAGGGGAATAAAGTTTATATCTAATCATGATCTTAATAGTCAAAATTCTAATAATTTATATTTCAAAAACAGCAAATACCAGGGATGGGGAAAGTTCTAGAAACAGTGTCTTGGATAATGAAATCGCTAGTGAGTGAAGAACCTCGAGAAACACCACATGTGGCCTGCCTCTTCGCAGAGTCCAGGATATGTGTCCATACACTGCTCTGTAACTGCTCTAAGGAACTCACAAGGAAGAAAGACACTGAGTTGAAATTGGCAGGGGTTTTTTTGGTACACAGATTTATCATAAACCCTTTTAATATGAATACACCTTAATGTTTTGATGGCATGTAGTAGCTTTTCAAAGCTTGAAGGGGAATGAAAAGTAGGTTAGAACAGATCAAGACCCGATAGATGCTGCGCTGCCCCTGCCCCTGGGTACCCTGAGCCAGCCACTGAGTCCACGCATAGTGGCACACGCCTGTAATTCTAGCACTGGGGAAGCTAAAGACAGGAGGATCACTATGAGTCTGAGCTGTGTAGTGAGACCCTGTAGAAATACAAAGGAGAGAGGGAGGAAGGAAGGGAGGGAGGGAGGGAGGGAGGGAGGGAGAGAGAGAGAGAGAGAGACCTGATGGAAAAAGGGAAAAGAAAAACAGAGAGAAGGTGCAGGCTGACCTCATAGTGCCCCTGCTCATGATAGAGTTTTCCCAGATTGTACAGGCAGCTGGTGACAGAGCTCTTGTGTGCATGCGGGTCCTTCAGGTTCTCATCCGGAATCTCAGAACACTTCAGGAACGTCCGCCGGGCTTCTTCTGTCTTTCCTTGGTTCATGAGAATAATGCCAGTATTTAAATACGCAGCTACAGTTAAAAAGAAGGAACAGAGTGTCAGAGGAAGATAGTCAAGAAATAATAAAGGAGTTATCTTTAAGTTTAGCTTACGGATTATTTCTGATTACACATCTATATTCATGAAACAAATACGTCACCAATATTGGTGGAAAAAACTACAAGTCTTACTAAAAGAGACAAGCTTATAAAATATGAATATCTGCACTTGAGCTAGTTCCTGCTTCCATATCTCCAGCTATTTTTGAGCTTAAAATCTAGTCAAGGAGAAGGGAGATATTTCAGGGGTATAAGCACCTGCCTGGCAAATGCAGTCCTGAGTTCAATTCCTGGTTTAAAAAAAAAAAAAAAAATCTAGTGGTGTAAAGGTTGTTCCTATCATAATATTTTTAAAACTAGAATTGGCGCTCAGAATGAAATTATGAGAAATATCATCATTAGAGATTTGTCCCTTGATCAACAAATACTCAGAAATAGGAGCACTGAGTGTTATCTCCATGAGACTATAAATTGCAAACATAATTTTTATGGATGGAAAGGAGTATTAAAAAGAAAGCCAAATAACCCAGTCGATTAAGGTACCTGCAAGCAGGTGCAGGGGCTGAGGGTTCAATCCCTGCATCTGCTGTGTCGGCCCTGCTCCCAGGAGTGCTGAGAAGGCAATTGAAACTGGGTATGGTGACACAAGCCTGTAATCCCAGCTCTTGGGAGGCTGTAAACAGCCAGATCACTATGAGTTCAATCTAGTAGTGAGACGCTGAACATGCTGTAAATCCTTCCCTAAAACATACACACATACACAAAAAAAAGAAAGAAAGAAAGAAAGAAAGAAAGAAAGAAAGAAAGAAAGAAAGAAAGAAAGCAAGCAAGCCAGCCCAAAACTTGATTACTTACAAGCCAGGGTGGGCCTGCTCCCGATGGCCAGTTTATAATAATGGAGGGCTTCGGCAAACCTGCTGTTCTCCTGGAGAAGCAGCCCTCTGCAGGAAGAAAACAGAAATTTAGAGCCGGGAATGTATTATTATACTTAAACCACAAATTTCTATTTTATATTCCAAAAATAAAAATGGTTAGCAGAGCAATAAAAATGCTGACCTGGTACTATAAAAGTAAATTCTAAATAGAAGGAAATGATTCCTCAGGAGAGAAAATACAGGACAAGTATCAGTTGCATTTATGGTCCATTAGAAAGCATTAAGAGGGATTTCCAAAAGCCTTCTCCAATCACTGAACTTTCCCCTTTCTAGTCATCTTTTACCTTCCCGCTACAATTGCTAACCACCTGGATTTCTTTTAGGAGCATGCACGTTTTCCCATCCTTCACAAAGGAAATCTGTCTACAGTAATTATATATATATAGCGTCCTTCGCTAGCTGCAGCCTGGGAAATATTTATCTATGCCTCCCTGAAAAGCAAAAGGCAGTCTAGGTCAACAACAAAGACAGAGCCAAAACTTAATCAGATGCTAAAGGGACAAGGAATGGAACAGAAGGCTACGCACAGTACTATTTGGATTTAGCAAGGAACTGAGCTTGAATTTCACAATACTGTGCAAATTGCAGTTCACTGTTCTGAAACACATCTTTCTCTACAGACTTAAAGACTCAACTAGAACTTGCCAAGAGCTTAGAGTTAAGCAGGATCCACACGCATTAATCCCATCATTCCAGAGCCCATCCTCATAACCTAAATGAAAATCAGTTACAATTCTGTCTATGAAAATAAGATGTCAGGGAACTGAAGAGCGATCACCCAGCTTCCAAAGTGCTCCGGCTAATCCCATCTAATTGTCCCCACTATCTTGCAGGCATAGAGCACTGCACATCTATTCAGCCTGAACGAGGCCGTTATTACTGCAAATTGCAGATTTCACTTGGCAGCTGCTGAGGTCTTTCAATGAGTGGTGAAAGGGAAGTCTGGGAAAAGAGGAGGATGTTGATAAAAATGGCATTTTGTCAACTACTGCAGTAATCAAATACAATTTGAATATAATGGAAGCTGGTTCTCTTGAGACAAAGGCAGAGGGTGATAACACTTTTAAGAGGTGAACCTAGGGGTGGCAGGTATGTCCTGAAGGCATTGCTCTTCAAAGGAACTAATGCTGGTCTCTTGGACTGGGCCTCTCCATTGTCTGGTTCCTTGTTTCTCCACAGGATCACACCTTCTCTTGTGCTCCCACAACTATAACACCATGCATCATATTGTCAGATGCCCAGGGTGACACTAGCCAGTTCTGCTGCCATGTTTGCATTCTGAATCCGCAACACTATAAGCTCCATAAACTGCACATCTCTGCAGTATTACCCAGCCTCAAGGATTTTATTACAGCAGCTGAAATCTGCCTCATACAATTCTTTAAAATAAAAAAAAAAACTTACTATTTAATAAACACTGGAAAAATACTTGAAGAAAATCGTTTTGAAGTTAAAGAATGAAAAGGAGCATTAATTTGTTTTGTCTCCTTTTCTTAATTTTTCGTATTTTTTCTCCTAATTTCTTTGCTGTTGTGATTGTCACTGTTGTTGCTGTATGGCTGGCTCAGCTCACCCTGGGGACAAGGTTGACGCTATATGAAGTGCCAGGTTTCCAACTGCGGTCCTTGCATACTTGCCTAAACTTGCATAAGCAGGAGCTTTAGACCACTGAGCTATCTCACTGGCTTTCTTCTTCTTGATTTCTTATATATTTCTTTCTTTTTTTTCTTTCTTCTTCCAATTTTGCAAGACTATATCTGGTAATATGAATGACTAATTTGAAGACAACACTATGCATTACAACAAATACTGTGAAATTCATATTGTTTTGTTTAGTGAAATTCTGTGCCATTTTTCTCTTTTAGAGCACTATTTTGTGCTCTCTTTAAAAAATAAAATATAAATTTATCACTGGTATATACTAATCTCATTTATTTTACTGTAATTGATATAGAGTCCCACTATGCTGCTCAGATTCATAGTGATCTTCCTGTTTTCAGCCTCCTCAGTGCTGGGATTACAGGCATGCACCACCACTTCCAGTCTTGGTGCCTGGCTCAGCACACCCAGGGGTGGAGCCAGCATGGCATGTGATTCAGGCAATCAAACCCAGGTCCCTACACTTGCCTAAGTAGGCACTTAGTCTGCTGAGCTACCTCGCCAGCCCTAATCTCATTATTTTTAATATTTGTTAAAATGTCATTTGATAAGATCATTGGATTGATTCCCAAACACATTAAGATCCCCTTCATATAGCAGAAATGTATCTTCCTATAAAAAATTTAAACAAAAATTAACTTGATCCTAAAATGGATATGCTGTGCTATTAAATGTACCCTTTAGTTACTGAGAAGAAAGGTTCCAGTTTTCAGTGTTTGAAAAATGGTCAGTTATTTTTAAGGTGGATAGAATGACAACGTATTTTTCAAAAAAGGCTAATATACTTTATAATCATAATCTTACTGATATGTTTTTCAGTTCACTAAATTCATATCTAAATCTTAATTATCTCTCTTTCCTTTCAAATTCAGAAAAAAAGACATTTTTTTCCTTTGATGTAAGGCTAATGCCACCAGAGGAGTAATACCAGCCAGGTATTATATTCCACCCTTTCCAGTTTATTCTTAGGAATAAGAATCTTCGATGAGCCTCTATTTGTCCAATATCCTTTCTCATTATTAGTTCCAACCTTTTAAACCACAAAAATGTTCATGCACCTCTTAGCATAAAAAAGGAAAAAAAATGCAACCTTTATTCGTCCTGCAGCTGCCTCACCTACTTCTTATTCTTAGCCTTCCCTTCAGTGTCGGATTTCTTTCCTGAGTAGTCTGTGGTACACATGTTCTCAAATCCCCTGTATCCATAAATCCAATTTAGGATCGGTTACCAGAACTCATTCTGATGTGTCATATGAATCTATACTAATTACCAAATGCTTCGAATAGTGGATTTTTATTCTCAGTTCCACTCTTGATCTCTCACGGTGGAGAATGAAAAAGAAAGGGTCATCTTATTTACGTACTCCTTTACAGCATGCTGGTGTTTCCCGGGATTTTGTTTGTCTCCTCTCTCAAGAAATGCCGGCTCTGCACGATGGCACGCATGCTCACACGTGGCTCGTTCGCATGCTGCCCACCCTCAGTTGTAAAGTAATAGTCTTTCTCCTGACATCGAGATCCGCTTTTAACAACTGATTGTCAGCCCAAGGGCTCACTGGAAATGTCAAACTCAACACATTCAAAAATTGAAAATGAGGGCTGGCCAGATAGCTCAGTGGATTAAAGCACCTGCTTAGGCAGACGCTGGGGCCGGGGTTGGACCCCAGCCTGCTGTGCTGGCCCCGTCCCCGGGGCGCGCTGAGAGGGCAACTGAGACTGCGCGCCGTGGGGCACGCCTGCAATCCCAGCACTTGAGGGCTCAAAAACAGGGAGGATCACTACGAGTCTGATCTGTGTAGTGAGCCGTGTAGTAAATACATTAAAAGAGAGAGAGAGAGAGAGAGAGAGAGAGAGAGAGAGAGAGAGAGAGAGAGAGAAAACCCTTGATCTTTGAATCTAAAGAATATGAATAGATAAATGAAATAAACAATATGGAACATGGCCTCAGTATTAAAATTGTGTTGTACTTCATTTGCTAAGCCAGAAACCTGCTTCTCACCCTTGATTCATTTATTTTCACAAACATGTTTTACAGATCCTTGTATTTAGAGCTCTTCGCTCCATGCTTTAAGCTTCATATTTACACCTCTGTCAGAGCCCTTTTTATCTTTTCTGTTCCTTGAATAACTGCAGTAGCCTGCTAATTAGTATCTATGTAATTACTTTTCTAAAGGGCAAATATGCTACTAGCCATAGATGGAATAACAGTAAGTAAAGTGCACAGATCTCTGACAATGGCCAAATACCCATAAACCCTGGAACTGATGTACTTAGCTTCATGAGACACCCAGTGCTGCTATGTTCATAATATATAAAGAGGAGAATATAATAAATAGTATGAGACAATACTAGATAATCCTGTCTTTCTGACTTAGTCTTTGAAGGAATTTATTTATATATAGCAGGGAAATATCAAGGATTATATAAAAGTTTTTTTTTTAATTAGAGTATTAACGTTTGCGCCATGTGAGTAAAGTTGCTGGTAGGTTGGATGGCTACTGTGACTGACGACTTATGTGTAAGGATTTAATTGAACATCAGTTACGCCACCATAAATGTATGTTACTTGTGACCAAGACAGTGGTGCACTCAACTGTGGACAAACAATTTTTGTTTGTTTGTTTGTTTGTTTGTTTGTTTTGCGGAACCAGGGATTGAACTCAGGCCCTTGCACTTGCCAGGGAAGCGCTTATTCCACTGAGCCATCTCCCCGGCCCCTGGACAAACAATTTTTTGAGGAAGAGGAATACACAAACAAGCATGGTGGAAAATTACTGCACTAGAGGATCAGGGACCAACAGAGCCCCAGTTCAGGAATGGAGCAAAGGAGGCCCACGCAGAGCAAGTGACATTGCCAGAAGCTTGGAAGAATGTAGAGAGAAAAGGGACTGACATTAGCTCCACATGACACAGCAGAAGAGAATTTTAGGGAGTTAACCAACTAATTTTAGATTTATGATCAGTAAGCAACAAGGTGAGATTTAGAACACAGTTTCTCTAAGAGTAAAATCCATGCTTGATGGAAAAAGAAAGACAAAAAATTCTAAATATAGATACACTAAGTTAGGTTTCCCTTTGCTCTAAAACTCTTCCCTTTTGTATAACATTAACTGCCTTGTAAGACTGAAATGGAACCAACCATCATTTTGGAGGTGCAGGATACATTTTGACTTCTGTTACTACAATTTGCACATTTGCAGAATTCATGTTTTATTTTACAGAAGATAAAAGATAGACACAGGGCTAGAACTCTTTCACATTGCAGTTCCAATCATTAAAAACAGTAGCTAAACATAACCATCCCTTACAATGTCATGTAAGCGGTTTACACGAAATAACATTTATTAC